GCACTTAAACTAGTCTTATGACTATTAAAATTTCAGTCAACTCAATCCTTCATTGGAGTTGCCATGAAATCTAGTTTAAAATTTAGGCATTTAGGCATTTCACACCCATAAAATTCTCATAAAATAAAAACCTCATAAAACATATCCAACTACTATACAATCTAATATTAAGAATAAGCAAATGGAGCTATTGCATTGAAAATAGTACAAAGATTGCACTTTCATAGAATTGACATCAAACTTACTTTAGAGTGTAAGAAAATAATAATGATATAGCTACATACGTGTCAAAAGGATCAAATTGAATATTAGACAAATTGTGGTGTCATATATGTGATGTATGTAGCTATATGGAACTTGCTTTGTTATGCTTTAGTAACTTTTATGTTAAGAGTAATCACAATAGTGGTTTTTGCTCGGTTCTTGAGGAAAAAAAAATTAGAAATTAATTTTTTTCTAATGAGAAAGGATGTTTTTGACTAGATTTTTCTCCAGCAAATATGGTTTCTAGGTGGGTCCACTTTTAGGGGGAAAGGAAAAACTTGCGCAGATTACTGCGTGTATGCCCAGAAGGCGCTTGCACCTTTGGTGCGTAATGCCTTTAATTTATATATATATATATATATATATATATATATATATATATATATATATATATATATATATATATATATTTTTTTTTTTACTGTCTGAATTTATTGTTTCTTTTTCTTTCTTTTTTTCCTTTATTCTCTTCCTACTTGCTTCTCTCTTCTACATGGCCTGCATAAAACTCATAAAAATCTACAACTACTGTGGTTGCTCTAACATTTGGCATAGAATTAATAATTCAGTATCTCTATGTTTGTACATCTAAACTAGGTAGAGGTTAGAACTCAAACACTTACAACAAATGGAGAGAGGAAAGAGATCAGCTCTGTTTGGTAGAGATTTTTTTTTTTTTTTTTAGAACTTATAACTTATTTGTAGCTTACAAATAAGCTATAGCGCTGTTTGGTAAAATATGTAAACTTTAAAATAATAGTTTATAGTTTATTTTGAAACGCTCCTCCAAATAGCGTTTCAAAATAAGTTAAAGACTTTTAACATTTTTTTTTTATCTTTATTAATTTATAAAAATGACACCATTTACCATTCTTTAATCAGAATCCTAATATCTAAATACTCTTATCCTCTTTTAGTTCTTTACCTTGTATTTTCCTAAATATTATTCTCTCTCCAGTTCTTTACTGTGTTCATCAATGTGAGAGACAAACAACACTCATCACCCTTGTGTTTTAATCATCCAAGGTAATCAATCTTTCTTTTTTTATCATTATTATTATTATTATTATTATTATTATTTAATCAGAGTAATATATATATATATATATATATATATATATATATATATATATATATATATATATATATATATGCGTGTGTGTTGAATGATTACAGAGTATATATATCAATACATATATGTTGTGTTGATTTAAGTAATTTAAACATTAATTTCTAAAAATTATTGTTTTTATTTTTTAATAGGAAGATATTATTTGGTGGATAAATGATATATGGATAGATCAAGATATTTGGTACCATATCTAAAAATAAGGCACCATTAATCTCAGTTTGAATAAGAGCCGTAAAGTAAGCATCTTGAGGTTATGATGGGGTCATTATTTGTTGCTATCTGTAGTTGTATGGAGAGATCATTTGGAGTAGTATTAAAGAAGAGATGGATGATACTTACATCAGAAGAGAAATGAGGGAGAATTCATTACTACTTTTGAGGTCAAAATGTCATGGTGGCAGAGAGAGAATCAAGAGAGAGAAGGGGTGGGGAGCATCTACAAAGGTTGGGATATTACTCTGCCCAAGAAAAAGAATTAATGACAGAGGAGAGAGAATCAATAGAGAAATGACATGCTTATTTTATATATATATATATATATATATATATATATATATATATATATATATATATATATATATATATATATTTATAAAATCAGTTTTGATTTTTTTCCCTCCCCTCCCACATTATTCTCTTTCCTACTCACTCTTACATTCTCCCCCTAATATCCCCAACTGATAAGGATGCTCTTAGTAAAATGCCACAATTTAGAGGTGTGGATACCCAAATTGATGTTATTTTGGCCACATTTGCATTGCATAATTACAACTCACAAGATGATATGATGTTTAATATGCTCGAGCAACATCCGAATTACATACTGTCCTATAATCTTCAAGATTTTTGTTCTACTAGCACCGACAATGAAAATTTAAGTGAGTCAACTAGTGAAATGAAGGATATTCGAAATAATATTGCTACTTTATTATGTGATGCTAGATTATAAATGTGATACAGAGTATAAATTTAGACTTTAAATTACAATATATATATATATATATATATATATATATATATATATATATATATATATATATATATATATATATATATATATATATATATATATATATATATATATATCACTATTTAAATTTGAATTTATAAATTCATAAAAATACCATTTTATGTCTTTTTACACTTATCATATTATTCACCAACTAATTTTACCAAACACCTAAATTTCGATCATTTAACTTTTTAGCTACTAGCTTTTCAACTAGACCTGCTAAACAGAGCCTTAATAGAAAACAGAAAAAGAAGAGTCTTGAATGATATTTCAAGCTTTCAACTCTCTCTCTCTCACATTTCTTAAAACTACAGTCAAAATGCTATAGTAGATAGAAATATACCATTACTTATACAATCCCTTAGAAATGCAATGAGCATACATATATAATGTTTAAATTTAAGTGTTAGTATATAGTTGATTTTTAATTAGTATCACGTGGAGACGAGACACAAGATCAGATGTTATCTTATCTAGTGAGTGAATGAACCTTAAATTCTTAGATGAGAGATTTGAACTAAGTAACACGCGTTTGTCCTTAAAATTTTATGTGAGATTTGCGAAGAGCAATAAATAATGACCCCATCATACCCTCAAAATGCTTATAAGTGCTCTAGAATGATGATTGCCCACCTTACGACAATATAGCATTCCAATTTTTTGAATCAGAGGGAGGGGTCATCCTGACAACAACATAACTCTTATATTGTCTAATAGTGTGTCTTCTCGGGTTGGGAACACCCATTTTGTCAGCTTGATACCTTGCTAGTTTAAGGATGTTGTTGAATCAATACATGCATGATATGATGCAGTCTAGTAAAGAAATATCATGCATGCATCTACCCGATATTATTGATAGTTATTTACTCATTTACTTATCAAGTTTTAGCATTTACTAGGTCTAAATTTTTTTCGTAACAAAAGCTAAAGCTCAGGAGATTAATTAAATAAGTCAATGCATGATATATATGATGAAGGGGAACCATATTTGTTCTTTTTGTGTGTAATTGTAGGCTATACAAGTCAACACAATAATTATTTGGTGGAAATTTAATTTGTATATTTTTTTATTTGTTCAAAATTCATTCAACTTTATGAATGTTTCTGATGCCACATGTAGAAACTTATTTATGGAACATAACATATTTGATCAATAAGGTATATTAACACATTCTTAATTTTAAAACACATTGGATAACACGTACTTTACAAGTAGGTGGGAACTCCATAGCATCAACAATAGTGAATTACTGGTATAAATCAAATTTATGTACCTAAAATAATGACTTTATTTACATGTAATTTTTTTTTTTTTTACAAATTTTTTAAAAATCAATATAGGTATTTTTTTTAGACTAGTTCACCTTGCAAGATAATGGACCATGGTCCATAATATAACTACTGTTTTACAAATTTACAAATTTTTTTAAAAATCAATATAATGCGTCTCCACTGTTTTAAAAATCAGTATAACTACTGTTTTATTAATTATATTGTTGTTGTTGAATTTCGTCTTTGTTTTGAATGCTACTGACCCCATTACAATGTAGTATCTGAGGCTGGAACTCACAATCTTCCAAATGGAAATCCAACCCAGATACCATTAGACTATATAGTCTTAGTTATTGAATTTCGTCTTAATCTAATGGATATTAAAAAAATTATGGTCATTTCATGAACAATTAAATAACTAAAAGTAAATACAAGAATAACTGATATATTAAATCTATATTTTATTAATTCAGGTTGTACTGTATAAGTATGTCATTTTCTCATTTATTTATATTCTTTTCATCCGACCTGCTATTGTGGACACTGCGGAGGATTGTTTTGTTCTTGGTAGATGGTCCAGGCTTTTACATTTCTTTTATGTAATAAATTCTGAAATTCGTTGAATTGCAGGTAAAAGTGCAGGTGGGTGCAACGCAGGGGTTAGATTGTTCGGAACCAAAAAATCATATCTCGCAATTTATCTCATTTATAAACTGGACCTTTGGGTTTGAGCCACCCGCAATTATACTGTGGACCATGATCCAAAACGACAGACACTATAATGTATCTAAATTGACACTGTCTCACGTATTATTTTTATTATATTATCAAATGAAACTGCAATTGAATTGAAACTGTAGTTGTGTTGAAATGAAATTGCAGTGTATACAAAATGAAACTGAATAACAATTTCACATATTTGAGTGCATATTGTCCAACAAAATTGTAATTATATCAAAATGATACTTTAGTTGTATTGAATGAAACTGCAATGTATATTTGATGTCTGGACCACAATGCATTGTGGACTACGGTCCACAGTACAATTTGCCTTTGAGCCACTAGTTGGACCATTCTATTTAACTTTATGAATATCTCATTGGATTGGACTCATTGGGTTGGCTTGAAATCCAATATCCTCCCTCTTATTGGGTAAGCCATCTGCCCATAACTGATAAGCTCAAACTAAAAAGGCCAATAGACCTCTTCGACCGAGTGTCGAACTTGTAACATTTTGTTACCAAGTCAACAATCGAACCAACTGGTTGGTATTACCTCTTCATTTATCCTTTTTGGTATGTGCCATGATGTGATATATTATGGAGCAATTTCATTTGTTGGTTAACAACAAACACAACAGGTGTTTGAACCCAAAAGCTAAGCATACATTCTTTACATAATAAATCTAAACAACCATCCCAAGCAAGAATGAAAGTTACAAGCTCAAAGCAAGAATGCTACAATGCTGCTACTGTCTGGTAAAAATGGTCCATCAGCTTAGCTTATAGCCCAGGCAAACAGGTTTCAGAAATTGCTGCTCTCTGTTTTGATGCTGTCAGCAGAAGCACTCGTTCCCGCTTTTGCACTGATAATAAAGAACAAGATTAGGTTAAGAATTAGCGAAGTTTTGGCAAGTGACAAAGGGGCATGGTTAGTTGGTTACCTATACGATTGCGGGGGAATAACTAGGGAGCAGTCCACATTTGATGGATAAGAAGCAGCATCTGATTGGTTTCTTCTCAGATAGCAGAACTCAAATGTGTCATTTCTCAAGCCAGATAGTTCAGTAACAAATGGATTTGAAGGTGTGGTGTTTTCTCCTATACAAGGAGAGAACAATGTAGTTTAGTTAGATTAGATTAAGGTCTAATGTTGTCAACTAGGCAATGAATGAGGCCACTCATGACTCACCTATTGGCTTTGTTCTTGAATGACAACCATCCATTTGCTCAGGAGACAAAATCCCTGCCCTACAATTCTCCTTTGTAAAGCACACAATATAAAACTGGCTAGCAATATCTCATATATAGCTGTGAAATGCTCGGGACTAGAGTGATTGAGGTTACCTTGAAAGAAATGGGAGGCTGGAAGGGGTGAAGGTGAGGCTGCATTGCTGGTTCCATGTCAGCTGAAGCTTCGGAGCTCACGATATTGGAGAAAGTTGCCACAGATGTGAGCTTTGGGATTGGACCATTGTTGGATGGGGTGAACATAGCATTCAGGAATCCATCTTGGTTCATATGAACCGCGCCAGCCATGTTAGCATTCGGGGATCTGTTTCCCCCGTAAGCCCCCATTGCTACAATGGGATATTGGTTCTGGTTCAGCACTCCATTTATGCACATAGGATACAGGCTTAATCCATTTCTGATTGTCAACATCTACAACAACCCAAATGTAAGTCGCCCAGTGTTAGATTCAAACGCTTATCACTACGCCAAAAGTTATAACTAATAGCGTAAGGGCAGCCAATGCCACATTTCGAAATGAGGTGCTGGACTTGACCCTTCAGACCTCCGCCCAGCAATCCTCTAGCCATATGGTGCTGGACTTGGCCCTTCAGGCCTCCGCCCAACATTTCCTAGTCACATGGTGTTGGACTTGACCCTCCAGGCGTCTGCCCAACAATTTCCTAGCTACATTATGCTCGATTTGACCCTTCAGACATCTACCAAACAATACCCTAGCCACAATATGCTGGATTTGACCCTTCAGGCCTTTACCGAACAATCCCCTAGCCACATATGCTGGATTTGACCCTTCAGGCATCTACCGAACAATTCCCTAGCCACATTATGCTGGATTTGACCCTTCAGGCATCTACCGAACAATCCGCTAGTCACATTGTGCTGGACTTGGCCTTTCAGGCCTTTGCCCGACACCTGGGATCTCAAATAACATGTACTCAAGCTGGATTTTAATCTTATTTTACCCTTTTGCAGATTTTATTTGCACTAGAAAGCAAAGAAAAACACACCTGCACTTGGAGCTGTAGCTGCTTAAGGTATTCAATGGCTTCATCAAGCATGGAAGCCTTGTCAGTCTATCCAAACAACAGATTAGATTTTTGTGAATCATAACCACCCTTATGTTCTTAGACACAAACCAGAACTAAAGATTTGAAAGATAATGAAGTATATATTTCACCTTGTTTGAGTTTGGTATTAGATTCTGCAGTGCTTTCATTTTCTCATTGATCCTACTCCTCCTCCTCTGTAACAAAATCCCACATTATACCCAACCCCAAATCACAACTAAAACAAATATCATAACCATTATAAACATCAAGAATACACAAGAAAAAAGAAGAAGAAGAAGAAGAAGAAGAAGAAAAGAAAAAGATCCAACCTTTTCAGACAAATTGTGAAACTCAGCTGCTCTGCTTCTCTTAGAGTTTCGAGTTGGTCTTGCTCCTTCTGCTGATGCTTCTTCCACCACAGCTTCACTGTTCTCCTGCACACAACACAAAAGCAGAAACCTAGAAAAGTTGCAGAGATTATAAGAATAAAAAGAAATTGTTCCCATCCCAGAAGTTGTGTCAGATTTAACTTACCTCACTTTCACAATCATACTGATCTGGTTCGTTCTCAGCAGTCCCAACAGAGGATGAACGCACATCCCCCGCCGGTAAATACCCCAGAGAAGGAAGAAACCCGGCGGAGGAGGAGTCGGCCACGGCGGCGTAAGGTTGCGTTTCTTGCAAAACTTGTGGGTGTGAGGAAGAACGCAGCAGAATTTGATTGACAAAAGCAAAGATATCATCAGGCTCAGAAGAAGAGTGTGCGGTGGCATATGCATTCGCCATTACTCACTCCTCAGAAAGGCCAAATTTTCAAAGGGATATATGCTTTCTTTCTTCTTTTTTTTTTTGGTTTTCTCGGGGAAATGAAAGTTTGGTCGTATTGGTTTCGCTGTGCTGCTTTATCGGGAAAACCCCATTACCACACTCCTTTAATCTCTGCAACTCTGCTAGCAATGTTGCAAACTGCCACCAAAACACTTATTTCTAGCCTATAGCTTAAATTAAAATCTGTGTCGTCGTCCCAATTTTTTTTTTTTTTTTTTTTTAGGTGGGAAAATGGGAAATGAAAACTTTGCTCAAAAAGAAATATATCAAAAAATCAGAGGCCTCAAATCAGTAGAGCAGTAATTTTGAGACGACGTGTGGGATGAAAACTATGGAAGTCAGAACAGAGGTGAAGGAGAAGGCGCATGTGAGAGTCACTAAAAAGTTTTTCTTTCATCTATGCTCTCTTCCAGAGAACGTACAATCCCACTTTCTTCCAACTTTGCACGCTACAATACAAAATTTCATATTTCCTTTTTTTAACATATATTTCCTAAATGTCTGCAAAAACTTGTGTAAGATCGTCTGGAATCATTGTAACCAGTTTCACGGATCCGTGAAACGGTCTTTTTATGAATAGTTTATAATAAGGAACAATTGGGAGCAACCTCTCAAAGTGAGGGGTTCCTTGTGCGCAGTGAGCACAGGTCTAGCCTCTGTGTTTCATGTTCAGTTAAGTTACTATGATTTACATCCTCCCAAATGCTCTGTCGGGTCGATGTGTGGGGGCCCTTAGGATTGGGGTTCAGCCTTTTCGAAGAATGAATAGTTTATAATAAGGAACAGTTGGGAGAAACCTCTAAAAGTGAGGGGGTTCCTTGTGCACAGTGAGCATAGGTCTAGCCTCTGTGTTTTATGTTCAGTTGAGTTACCATGATTTACATCCTCCAAAATGCTCTGTCGGGTCGAGGTGTGGGGGGCCCTTAGGATTGGGATTCAGCCTTTTGAAAGAATGAATAGTTTATAATAAGGAACAGTTGGTACAATCTCAATCAAGTTAGTCAGTTTGTTAACTTGGTAATTACAAAGGTACAAATTTGATATTGATTTTCTAAGAGAGCGGCCTATTGTGTGATTAATGTTAAATTGTAAAATTTATAATGTAGTTTGATTTGTGATTAATTAACTCAGAATAAGTTGAAAGCTTTGTTTTGCTAACCAGTGATTGCAAATTTCTTACCGACCAACGAACCAAAGAAGAAAAGGGAAAAGTAATATGGCAAAAAGTGAAAAAGGAAAAAAGATAACATTTAACAACTTTTGTACTTCATTAAATTGATAGGTGGTGTTAATAGATTTGAATGGTTGTTCATATGGGAGGAAAAGGGGATGAGAAAGTAAAGAGAGTTTCCAGTTTTAGGTGAGAAGAAATGTCAACAGAAGAGCATATGTTTCCTCAGTTGCAGTGTGTTGTCACTTTCCAAAGATTACTTCTAAGCTGCAGCCAAGATCAGGGAAGAAGGGAGATCAATCAGATCAGATCAGATCAGATCTGTGAAATTAAGCAACACTGACCAAATTAAATGAACCATTTAATAATCATCATTCCAAACACACAAATGACAAATCCCCTTCTGCTTTTGTCCAACACAATGTTACTCACGCCTTAAATTCCTCGTTAATGTGGTAATTTTCTCCCATTAATTTCAATTTGGTTTTTTTGGTTGCATAATATGTTTGGCTATTTATGTGGGATTTGTCTTTATCCCAAAATTTGAAAGTAAACATGAAGTAAAAACATCCCCTAAATTTTACAGTGGACCATTATCTATGTAACAGCGTGGAACATGAAATATGTATCATTTTAATTACACTTCAGTTTCATTTGACAATATTATTATGTTTTTTAGTTTTATTTTTCCTCAACACTAGTTTCATTATTTTTTTTTTTTTTGGTAGAGGCACTAGTTTCATTATAGCAATACTAAAGTATCATCTTAATTCTACTATAGTTTCATTTGATAATATACATTATTGCTTTAGCTCTAATGTTTTGTTCCATTTTCCACACACACTAGTCTAATTATAGTAATGTTGAATTATTATTTTAATTGTACTTCAGTTCATTTAACAATATATGTTATTGCATGATTTGGGATTTTAGTTTCATTTTTCACGCACACTAGTTTCATTATAGCAATACTAAAGTATCATTTTAATTATACTACAATTTCATTTGACAATAATGTGCTCTGTTTTTTAGTTTTATTTTTCACACATACTAGTTTCATTATAGTAACACTAAAGTATCATTTTAATTCAACGATCATGATTCGCACAGCGACGTGTGAACAAAGACAGAGCCAAAGGAGGGGGGTGGGGGGGGGGGGGGGGAAGGGGCAGCTCCCCCCCTCCCCCCCCCCCCCCCTCACTCACTCCCACCCACCCCATATATAATATTTGTATGTATATATGTATATATAGTACATGTTTTAGTATTAGTATAAAAAAACTATTAAAAGTTAATAAGAAATAAGTTAGGTTAGTTGGTAGAGTATATGTTTTGTAATAGTAAAGATCAAGGGTTCGAATTCTTTGGCATCAACATAGTTTTACAGTTTAATTTATAATGTGTTTCTATTCAAATTATTTTACCAAATTAATTATGTTTCATATTTTGTTATGAATATTTTTATAAAGTTTCGATATGTTTTATTTTTCGCTCATATCTAACAATATTTACAACTATATTTCTTAGGTAATTTTTTTTTTAAATTATCTCTTTTGTTTTAATGTTTCGCTTTTACTGAAATTTTTTTCTGAATACGTACCTATTGCTTCGTCCCCCTCAACCGAATTTATGGCTCCGTCCCACGTGTGGATCATGGTTCATTGTATAACAATTGTCAAATGCATATAATGTTGGAAAAATTTTGTTATATTTTCCATTTAAGGCGACAATTTTGTAGTATAATAGAGTTCATTTCCAATTTTGATCATGTGAAAATGAATTTGGATTTTCTTAAGTGTGATGTTTAATTTGATATACACTAAAATTAGATAAGCAAGATTCTGGCTTATTGCCCCAATAAACTAATGTAATAAGCTATTTTTACCAAACACTTTGGTGTACCTGTAATTGATAGTTTTTGACAGTTGTTATACTGTGGACCATGGTCCACAATGCTAAGTGGACCATGATCGTCAAATGAAACTGTAGTATAATTAAAATGATATTCTAATGTTGTTATAATGAAATTAGTGTGTGTGGAAAATGAAACTAAAAACCAGAGCTCATTCAACAATGTATATTGTCAAATGAAACTGTAGTATAATTAAAATGATACTTTAGTGTTGTTATAATGAAACTAGTCTGTATAGAAAATGAATCTAAAATTAAGAGTCATACAATAACATATATTGTCAAATGAACCTAGAGTGTAATTAAAATAGTACTTTAATATTACTATAATTAAACTAGTGTGTCATGTGGATAATGAACAAAATAGAGTTTATGCAATAGTGTATATTGTCAAATGAAATTGTAGTAGAATTAAAATGATGCATTGGTATTGCTATAATGAAACTAGTGTGTGTGGAAAATGAAAAAAAAAAAAAATAGAGCAATACTATCAAATAAAACTTAAATGTAATTAAAATGATATTTACTTGTAGCTATCATATTATGTGTCAGTAATTATGATGTTATTTATTTACACATACAGAAATTATTATTGTAAGTACAAAATGTATTAATTGAAGATACATAATTTTTATATCAGAGTGCACAATGCAATATGAACCTAGTCCATGTTATACCAATTGCCCACCCATATATTCTCTCTTTTCTTTGTTTTTCTCCATCACGACGCCCTCTCCTTTTTTTTTTTTTGGGTTGAAAATTTCTTCTTTTTTTTTTTTTTTTTTTTCCTGCGACAAAATCTTCACATCCTTCACTTTCTCCGTACAAAATCCATAGCTTTCTTGTAAGGGAATTTGCGTGACATTTGGTTAGAGTGAGGGAATTAGGTAGAAAAAGAATTGTAACTTTATAGGAGAGGAATAATGTATGAATAAAGTCATAATTTAAATTCTAGCGTTTAGTTTGCAGGAATAGAATTACTAACAACTCAAATTTCAATATTATGTATATATGTGAATTGGAAAGGGATAAGTAGTATAAAGTCCAAAATGTTCATACTTATTAATATTATTACAATTACAATTACAATTATTATTATTATTATTATTATTATTATTATTATTATATTATTATTATTATTATTATTATTATTATTATAAATAACCAAATTCAAATTTTGCTTTTAAAATTTTGTGTAATACGCGGTAAATAAACCCTAGAATTGCATAACAAAAGCAATAAAATAGATAAGAGCTAGAGTTTGAGAAAACATGTTTGATTGGGTCAAACATCAATTTTAGGTTAAACAAATAGGGATAATTTTGTCTCAAATTTTTTTTTTCTTAAAATTCATGGAATTGAAATACCAATGGGGGGAGTGGGCATGAGATTCCAATTCCTTGAAAATGGAGTTTTAATTTTGCGGAATTGCAATTCTCTCCAATCAAATGAATGAATTTGTTTGCCTTTCAAATTATGTGGGAATTAGGTGAGAATGGAATTGTAATTCCCTCCAACCAAACGTCCTGTAATGAGGTACATTTTTCTACATATTTTTGTTGATTTATAATGAAGATGGAAAGAAATACGTAGTAACTTTGTAAAGGAACAAAAATTCTAAATATCGTCTTAAGTTAATCAATCCATTTCCAATATTAGATACGAATGTGACAATAAGTTATTTTGATCATTTAAAAATGAGTCATTTTCTTTCTTTAAAAAAAATCTCTAATTTTATTTTTTTTAAAATAGACAGTTAGTAAACATGTACTTAATTAGTGTTTTGAATTTATAAGTATAGCTTGAAGTTTAATAAATTCATTTCCAATATTGGGCACAAATGTGAGAAGAAATTGTTTGATCATAAATATAAAAAGTGGACGAATTTATTTACACATCATAAATTCTTGTAAAAATTCAACTAATCTAATTAAAATATTTTGCTTTTAATAAGTAAAATCTCAAATTAATGAAGAGTGTGTTTAGGAGTGTAGTAAGATTGAAGTTATAATAGTTGAAGATATCTACAACTTTCGCTAGACCCTTACCCCTGAATGTTTAAGTTGTTGTTGTTTGGCTTTTCGTATTTAGTATTATGAATTTATTATTGTATTAATTAGTTTAAATTAGTGATTAATTTTTGGTATTGTTCTGACCATGTCTTTCATTATCCTAACACTAAAACAACATGTTTGGTTCAAGGAATAATGTTATTCCATTGGAAATGACATAGACATGAAATATAATAGAATTTGTATTTCATTGTTTGGTTTACTGAAGGAATAGACTTTAAGAATGTTATTTTAGTGTTTGGTTGGTTTAAGGAATACAAATGAAATATATATTT